TTTCTTGGTAAAGTTGAAATCCGAGATACTTGCCAAAAGGTAAACTGCTAATTCACGCTGCTGCACAGCTGGCACTAAATCCAGAATGCTTATTTTGGGGCTCTTAGCCCAGGGGGGTTAACACTGACTGACTCCAGAGAGGTGAGGGACAAAGCTGGGGTAGTGTGAGGAGCTTTCAGCTTTGCTGCTCGAGCTGCTGCTGTAACAGGGTCCTGCAGGTCCTCTCCTCAGTCTGGTTTTGGGGTGTAACTGGGGAACCTGATGTCCCTAACCTGACACCCCTAATCTATCAGCTGGATTCTGACCTTTCATAACCATAACTCTTCTGTGCAGCTTGCTTCTGTGTACTTACAGGTTTTATAACCAAAATGCCCCAACCATCATCTCTTTAGTTTTCTGAGGGCTGCACATGGTGCCTCACACCGTAACCCCTTCCCCAGCGCTCCCTGCCCACCTCCCATCTGCTGCTTTGGGGCCAGGTAACCCTGCCTGGCCAGTCTGGGCTCGCTCGTCCTGCTGGGATGTGATGGGTGAGAAGGGAACCATGTTAAAGCACAACTAAACGTTATTTATTAATGGAGGAGAAATGGTTTAAAGCTGGAGACTCAGTGTTCCTGGTGTAAGTTCTGTGTTTGTAACAGACTGATTTCCCCTTACACAAACAGTTTTCTTAAAAAAAAGGAAAGGGGAAAAACAAAGTGTGATGTCTGTGCCCCAGTAACTTCACACAGGAACAGGGAGAGGCCCCAGTTTATCTTTGTTTTAAACAACCTTGTAAATGAATCTCAGGAATGACCTGTACCAAAGCTGGGTTTAATAAAAACAAAACTGACTTGTTTAACAAACATCTGTTAAAACCATGGTTTGTACACCAGGTATAACCAGAACGATGTCCTCTGTCCCTCTGTGATCCCAGTTTCCCCTCATTAACCCCGTTGCCCTCTGATTAAAGTGTGATGTCCCTTGTGCACTCCTGTGTCTTGGCAGCTGCTGTCCCCAGTCTCCCTCCCTTTTTCCCGACTGCTGCTTTCTCCACTGCCCCGAGGCTGGGAGGGTAGGAGTGGCCAAAAGCCAGTCTGTGGCAAGGGGTTTGAAAACGTCTCACCCTGTGCCCCTGCCTCATGGTGGTGTGGCCACAGTGGGACAAAGGCTGCGAAGGGGGAGTGTGGTGTGTGTGACAGGAGCCCTCCGAGGCTCCCAGGGAGGACACAGTGTCTCTGTAACCCCCGAGACAGAGAGGCTGGTGTAGAGGTACTGAGTGCCTGTCCCTAGGGTGTGTGACAGGTGACAGTCTCTAAACCCTCTGGATGCCCTTAGCCTAAGCCAGAACTGGGAAACAGATTGCAGCTGTAACAGGCATGTGGCCTGAAAAGGACTAAACTGGACATGTGGAGAAGCTGTGGACACTGCTGCCACTGCAGGCATTAGGGGTGAAACCCCACAACAAACATGTTCACCCCATGTTCTTCACCCCTGCCTGTCCCTGCTGCCACAGTGGCAGGGATGAGGCTCCACTTGTGCCAGGGGAAGTGGGACCTGGTGGGGAGCACCAGGGTCTGACTCAGCTGTGGCTTGGGGGCCATGCGTTCGGAGCTGGAAGTCTGCTTAGGAGGGCTCTGTCTGTCCTCACGTCTGTGCTGCCCTGCATGGAATGTGGGAAAGCTGAAGCTGTGTGTGACCATCGGGCTGAGCTATGGTACAGCCTTTGCTGCTGCTTTGAGGACTGTTTTAAACTTGCTTGTGCTCTCTTTTGAGGCAGCCACTCTAATTCCTTTGGCAAAGCTTTCATCCTGCTTGGAGCTTTTGTCAAGTTAGATTCCCAGCAGGATAGGTGAATTGGGAATAGAAGCTTTTTGTTCTTTTTCCAAATTGCTCAGATTTGATTAAGTTCTGTTTGTCATGACCATAGTTCGGTCACCAGGGGGATTCCAGTTGCACATCTTGCTGAGGAGGAATGGGAGGGGGCTCTGAGAACTGCCGGAAGTTAATGCATCTCTCCATCTCAGTGCACTTTCCTGCTTTCCTAAAGAATTGAACTGTAAGTATTGCTCAAATTCAATTTAACACACCAAAGTCAATTAGCAGGAGAAAAAAAACCAACAACTGTATAGCTGCAATGCCACAAATGAGGTGTAACTATTGCATTACGCTTCCCTTTGCAGTTTTCTTGTCTACTGGTCAGTTCTCTGACCACAGGAGTTTATTTATTTGTGCAGCTCTTCTCCTAGGTCATTACACACCCTCCACAATTAGTGACAGTGAGTCAGGTTTGTTGTCAGAAACACCCCAGTGAGTGCTGTCCTGAAATGGGGCAATGGTTCCTGGTGACTGCATGAGCTGTGACATGGTTCCTTTAGCTGGGGGTTATGAATGGGGGACATTGTGGTGGATGGGAGGAACTGAAATACTTCGCTGTTTCTGTAGGTGGTTTAAAACAACCACAGAAAACAGTTGTCTGTGTGCTTACCATAGGGGATTTCAGGTGTAATTGCAGCTTTGTTTACAAGGTGGTGGTAGCTTCAGGCATCTGGAAATCTGGTCTGAATTGAGGCAACAAGAGGAGTCTGGGTTTGAGAGGTATGTCTCACCTGGGCCGAGATCCCCCAAGGGAAGGGACCTTACCAGGTCAGAGCTCTTTGAAAGTACTCTATAAGCATTCTCTGTAGTTCTTCTGGGAGTGAATATTCCCCAAAACAACAGAGCTAGCCATAACTACATCAAACCTGTGCCAGAACTCACTGAATCTGGCGCATTTTCACCAGTAATTGTGTGTAGCAAATGGGATCTGCAGTGGTGAGTTGAGCTGCAGCTGGAATAAACTTGTGTTGTACACACAGTCCAAACAGGTAGGCACACAGGTGAGCTGTCATCCTCTCGGAAACTCACTGGGCAAAATAATTATTCCTGACACTGCTGTGTGTGGGGAGTGTTCATCTTGTTACTCATTACTTGTCCAGGCAGGGAGGGGAAAGGTGTTAAAGCTTCTGACCCTTTACTGCTAAAAAAAAAGAGAATTGGTGCTATTCTCACTATCCAAAAAGCTCCTTCTGTGACAAGAATGGTCCTGTGCAAGAGCAGCTCCTTCCTGTACCTGGTAGCTCGTTCTTTGGGGAGGAAGCTCCATTCTGAGCAATGGCAGAATAAAAAGGTAAGTGACATTTTTAGCCTGTTGAAACCGAGACAGAAGTATTTGTTCCTTTGTGGTAACTACAGTGCTGGAAGAGGTGTGTGGGAGGGAGCTGTGCTGCCAGAGAAGCAGCAGTGTGTCCTGGGAGCACAGGCAGGCTCCAGTGAACTGTTCCCATCCCAGTGTGGCATCTTGCACCCTGACTGTGAACACAGAGCCCTGAAGGGCCTTCCAGCACTGCCTTTGTCTTTTAGAATTAACCCCTCTTAATGTATACTTTTGCATGTTGATCATAGAGATCTGCAGAGATTTTGAAAAGCAAATTTGCTCATGGGTTTTAACACATCATCCAGCTGCAGGCAGGAACTGTACCCATAGGCTCACAGCTGTGGGGGGAAAACACCAGGTTAGGATTGTTGTGGTGTAGAGTTACAGCATGTTAATTACTGTGTGCAGAACTCTGCTGCTGGCATTTCCACGGGCACACACAGCTGGTGACAGTGCTTGAGACAGGGCAAAGGGATGGAAGGGAAGCAGAGCCCATCACACAGCCCAGCTTTCTGCAGGGATTGGTGTGGGCATCACCTTTCAGCTGGCCTATTCCAGGGTCACAGAGGACAGGCAGACCAAGCTGATGTTTTATTTAGTGGAAACTATAAAAGACAACTCGCCTCCTTCCAAAAGCCAGGCAGTCAACTCACAGCTTGTGAGAGAAAAGGAAGGCACTGCTCAGGAGGGAAGACCCTACCATTAAATGAGAAGCTTCCCTGTGGTAGCATAAATAAATATCATGTTCCAAGCATGCTGCTGCCTGACCCCCGAGTATGTGGGGACCTCACAAACCTTATGTGGTCTAAACCAGCCCCAAGTCCTGCTCCTGCAGCATCCCAGGCCTGGGCAGGGCCCCCCCTCAGCACAGCATCCACAGCTTGAGGTAGCTTTGACCTGGCTCAAGGGAATTCTGTGGCTTTCACTGCTGGTTCAAGTCATGTCTGTTCACACAGGTTATTTGCACTAAGTCTCTGTTACTGGATGTTACAGGAACACTTTGGGGCTTCCTTTGTGGTTTCAAGAGCTGCATGGCTTTCTCCCTGCACACACAGAGCTCACTCTGGCAAATTTTAACACTTGAGAAAGCGTGAACAGCTGCTCAGCACATCAGTCCTGCATGATTGGTGCAGGAATTCGTCTCCTACACAAGACAATGTGACAGTGAAGAAGAGGAGAAGGCCAGAAATGTTCTTCTTGCACTGATGAGTTCTGTAGTTACATAGCTACAGTTACTTGCTCCTGCCCCATCTCTGTCACCAAGTTATGTATCTCATGTCATTGCATGAGACACCTGCTCAATATTTATCCTGTCCATATGAACCCCCCTCCTGTTCTGTGACAGGATGGCAAGTATGGTGCTGTTACCCATCCCCTACTGGCTGGATTATACCCTCAAACTAGGGTAACACTCACCTAAAAATGCCTATTGTTTAAAACAAAACCTCCACTAATTTCGAAAGGATTTGTGGAGCTGGTTTTTAAAAGTGCAAGACTGGTTTAATCTGACCTTTGTAAAACCACTTTGCTATGAAAATTAAGCAATTTGTAAGAAATAATGTGGTTGTAGTGGTGGAGGGGAATTATTAAAGGCATTTTATTTTTTCTAGTGTGGTAAGACAGAATAAATTTTAAAAACCCTGACCAGGACATGGTCAGGTGAGAGCTCAAGGCAAGGGTGATTGCAGACAAGAAGTGATTTCCCACATTGCATAGGAACTGTGATAAGAGTCTGTAATGGCTTAACCATGAAAAAGCACAGATCCCAGACCCCTGGATTACAAGGTAAGGCCTTAAGGAAAACTGGGAGTTTGATTCAAGCTTCTCACTGCTGAATCAAAACCTTGGTTCCATCTGAGATCTCTTGCAGAGGCAGCAGTGGGGGCTGCCCATTCCTCGACAGCAGCTCCTGTTCAGCTCCCATGGGCCAAGCCAGATTAGCTCTAATGAGAGAACAATGGTATGAGCTGGATGAAAGGCTCAATCTGTCAAACTTCATCATGGCAGTTTTAAAAATAAACTCTGAGGCATTTGGTTCTCCATGAAGTTTGTAGCTGCCTGCCAACTGGATCCCTGGGTTGCAGGACTGTGACCAAGTCCCCCCCCTCCCCAGCTTTCTGTCTTTACATAATCTTAAAACTGAGGGGTACCACATACTGCTTAGGAAGGACATAACAAATAGACTGATAATACCAAGTGTCTTTGTCCTCTGAGAAGCACAGTGACACTTTTGCCCTGTTATTTTGGCTGTTCTGTTTGCTGGGACCTGCTGGTTCTGCAGGTGCTGCTTGCAAGGCAGTAATTCTCCACGAGTCCTTTTTGGGTGGCTGTAAGGGAGGACAGGAGCAGCTCAGTTGAGGGCACGAGCCTCCTGTGTTCATCCTCCCAGCACTCACCTCCCCATCCTCACTGTGCAGGAGTCTGAATCCATCACAGCACTCTTCAGTCTCAGTGGTTTGATCAGGAATTTGGGCTGTAGGTGTGAAAGGGGCTGAAACAGTCTGGCTTACAGCAACCCTCAACCTCCCTTGTTGGGAACTCTGCCATTCACAAGGGTGCTGGCAGGATAGCCTTGCCTTGGGATAGCCCTGCACAGCTTGGCTGATGGGATAGAAAATATTAACAGCATTGGGTGGCTGCAAGCACATTAACTCTAGATCCACAAGCTCTTTGCAGTGGATGAATTCAGTGCTGTTCACCTGTAAAGAAAGAGGCAGATTTATTGTAAGTTCTGCATAAATTACTTTATTGTCTGGCCACTGTTGCTGTCACTTTGTGATTAGGGGGAGGGCAGGGACAGGCTACATGCCTCAGTAGATGCATAGCAGCAATATGCTGTTGATCCTGATGGAAAACACGTATCCAGGAGCTCCTGATAACTACTCCTATAACTATGATTACCCCTTCTACTATACACAATGTGGGTAAGTGCTTCTTCTTTGCAGGAAACAAGGAGGGACAGCAGGAAACCAAGTTATTTCAGACAAATTCAAGACCTTAAAATGGGTGGATGGCAAGCTGATGGCCTGGGTCTTTAGCCTTCTAAGTGTGCTCTCTTAGAAGGCATGTGCTTTATGAAAATGGGGAAAAGCTTTTTTTTTTTAAAAAAAAAAGCTTGTCTTGAATCATTAGAAGTCAAGCTGATTGTATTTTTAGAGCTATGTGACTGTACCTATAAGTTTTCTCAGTGTTCAGAGGGAGGAAACTGGGCAGATTTCTAGGTGCTCTCAGATTCTCCCATCATGAGAGAATTTCTCCTGGCTCAAGATACAGGCTGCTATCTGTGGCCAAGAATTTGGAACCATCCCTTCCCTGCCAAAGGGATGTCCCTTTCCCCAGTCCCACCCCTGAACTGCACTTTTGTTCCCTTTTGTTAGCACCAGCAAGGTCTGCAGCAAAGGCAGGACAAGGACACAAGTCTCAGGAGCTGCTGAAATGCAATACTGGCTGTAAATACACATGGCTTTATTCTTAATCATGTCCTGCCTCCAGGATTTGTGACCAAAGGCCATTTTGCTTCCTACCTGTGCTTTTTTTAGCAGATCAATAATAACAGGAAACCAACCAGGAGTCTGCCTCTCCAGCTCCAAGGTGATGATCACCAAAACCAACGTGGAGCCCTTAAACTGCACAAGCTGGTGGCAGGCCATACAGTGCTGCAGCTGCTTGGTCAAGAGTGCAACGTGGAGGGAAGGATTCCTCTGAGGCAGTCTGGGTGGGAGATGGGGCCAGCTGGACATCACCATGGCATGGAACTGCAGAGAAGACAAAGTGTACATATATATATACTCACATATATATATGAAAAGAAAAGCAGAGGTTAGTGAAGTTTATGTTTTCATGTCATCACCCAGAAGTACAGATGAATTTCATCTCATATCAGGAAACTTGAAGGCTTCCCCCACCTTTTTTTTTGTGTTTTGTGTTCGTACTTGCCAATCATTGAACTGTTTTTTGAGGTGATAATGAATGTACGAGGTCTATGTTTCCTAATGGTTTCTGAGGTTTCTACATTATCCAAATTGCTGTCCAGGAGATTCAGTTCAGGACAGCAGCTCCAAATCCAGTAAAACCAGGAATACTGCACTCTGAATTCACCAAGGAAACAAGTACCTACGAAAGGCAGTTTTCACAATCAGCAGCCTAAAATGGCTTAATATTTGCACATAATCTTAAAATAGGGATCCAGGATATGTTCATATCACATGAATTTTGCCTTACTAGTACATGATCGTTTCTTGAAGACAAAGTTTAATTGTTTCTATTAAATCTTTAGTAACTGCAATGTGAACTAAGTGCCAGACCAAGGTAGTCTCATTGCATAAAAGAATAATTAGTGGGATGAAAAGGAAAATGTTTTAAGAAAAAACCTATGTGGGAAATGTAGCAAAACTGACAGCTTTGTATGTACAGTATTAATAGAAGGGAAATAGTTAGAATTATTTTTGCAGCTTGTATTTAAAAAAAAAATAAAGAAGGCATATGGTTGTGCATTATGAGAATCTTTTTAATGTCCCTTCAGTTCTCCTTTAAAGATGAGAGTAAATTTTTTTTAGCAAAATAGAAGGTTTTAAATAGTAGAAAATTTTAAAAAAATTTAAAAATATAATTATTGTAATATTCTTTAAAAGGCTTGAAGATAGGTAGGAATAGGTAGTTTGCCAAGAATCTTGGGAAGGATGTGTGGGTGGGTGTGTGTGTGCATCTGTGTTTTTTAGTCTTATTTGATAAGGAGTTTTTTCTTTCAAGAAAAAAACATTGCAAAACATAGTGCTTACAATGTTTAAGAAATCCATTGGTGTTTCTGTGTAAAGATCCCACTGAAGCTTACCCAGTAGAATTCTTTCCATTCTCAAGATCTCGGCTGGAGAGTGTTTACATCTGCTCTGCACCGCTAGCGTCTGCACTGATGGTATTACCTGTAAAAAAATTTTTAAAAATTAAAAAAAAAAAAATAAAGAAACCAACGTCCTCTACAGTACTGTGTGCTCTTCTCTGTATTGTGAAGGGATCTGACAAGTTTACACAAGTTTATGTTAAGCAGAATGCTCGTTCAGGCGATCTCATCCTAGCTACCTCCCATCCTCACTGAAGAGTGGTCCCTGCTCAGCCCAGGGCAGCTGCTGCAGACCCAGCCCACAGCAAGAATGATGCCATGAGCCTCCCCAGTGGGGCATCAGTGAGGCACCTGCCCTGCTATCACTAGTTTTCAGAGGAGGCTTCCTGTCAGCCTGTTTCACAAGGTCTGCTGTGGTTGTCTTGTTTCCTGTGGTCATTGACACATTATTCTTTGTAGCTGAGAGGAAAACAATAACATCAGTGTAACACCACCTAAGAGAGGCTGTGAAGAACATTTCACTGCCACAGTGGCTGTTTGAGGAGATGTGTATGTCTGACTCCAGCTCCTGGCTTTCCTCTTCTTTTGCAAAGCAGAAGAAGAAAAGAGGAATGCAATCTGAAATGCTTTTAGCTAATGCTTGTAAATGCCTGCAGAAGTCTATCACTGCATTTTGCCATAAGAACTATCCTGTGTAATTTCTCACTGGTTGCTGATTTAACTTTCTCATCTTGAGGTGCAGACATGAGTCAGTTCCTCACAGGGTTCAGAAACCAGTTTTGGCTCCAAGCAAACTCATCTATTTAAATCTTCCTCTGAAGAGCGTCTGCTCTTCACACCTGCTGTGCCCTCCCAGGAGCTACAGCACAGGAATTACAGCCCTCTGATGGGCATCTTGACTGTCCCCTCAGACTGCTCTACTGTGAGCCATGGATTCTGAAAAGAGAAGAGAGGTTTGGGGACAGGACAGAAACACATCCATGACATAAACAAAAACAAAAGGTCACAATTCTTTGGAGCAACAGTGAAACAGGACTGAAAATGCTACTCTCACTTCTTTAGAACTACTTAGGGTAAACACATTAACACTTTTTCATTATGTCCAAGTTGTTGAAAGACCTGGAAACATGAACAACTTTTAGTGTGTTTAAAATGAAACATACAGACCTCATCTTCATTGGTTTTTGCTGCAAGGACAAGGCAGGAAATTGCAATGCACTGCAGATATTTTAATTGGGCCTGAAGGGAGAAGAAGAAAACACTGAGTAAAGAAGATAAGAGTCCTGTGGGAAATAATTGTCATTCATACATACATAAGTTTCAAACTTTCATTTAAGTTACAGTTGCTTCTGAATTAGTTTAGCTACAGAAGCTGGAAATAGAACAAGGAAATTCAAAGTGAAGCAGAATAAATCCTCTTATAGGTGCCATTTTTATTCATGTCTCTGACAACTTTTAGACTCTGCAACATCACAGTATTTACACTGCAATGTTGCTCCTCATTTCAGATATTGGTTCAGGTTGGACTTCAGGAAGAATTTCTTCATGGAAAGGGTTATTAAATATTGCAACAGGCTGCCAAGGGAGGTGGGAGAGTCAGCATCCCTGGGGGTGTTCAAGAAACAACTAGATGTGGCACTTAGTACTGTGGTTTAGTTGATAGGGTGGTGATCACTCAAATGTTGGACTTGATCTTAGAGGCATTTTCCAACCTTAATGATTCTGTGATTCTATATGCTAAATAGAATGGGGAGCTGCAAGGCTCAGCTCAACTCCTACCTTTGCTGTAGCTTCAGTGACAGAAAAGCTCAGCCCCACAGTTTAATTAAAAACAGTAGTCTAAAACACAGAATATTAAAAGTGATAATGTGAACAATTTCTGTTTAGCAGAGAAAACCAGATGAGTTCTTTGTACCTACCACAGCAGTTGGACTAAGTTCACACAAACAATTCTATTGAGGTCAGTGGAACCTCATCAAACACTCAAGTTCATATGTGTGTATATATATATATATTTGCTTAATGGCCTTCCCCAGCAATGACCCTGACTGCTCCCTAAATCTGCTGCCAAACATCATCCCTGCTTTGTGTATAAACTGATTACATGCTCCTTATATTCCCAGTCAGTAATCTAGCCAGGGAAAAGCTGACAGAGATTTTTACTTTTCCTGATGCCAACAGCCCGTTGAAGATTCTGGTGGCTAAGGTGAACATTTATGGGTAAAACTGGAACTGGGATCTGATTTCTGCTATCCAGAGAACTGCTTTTTTGTAACCTGACAGAGAGATATCTGTGCCCCGAGGGGAAGGAAAAGTTAGAAGAAAAATACAGTTACTGCTTTGATGATTTTGTTAACATATCTCCAAAGGAAGACTCAAATCTTTTTAAGTGCTCTAATTAGCATTTTAGATGGCTGGAGGCTTGAAATTAAGGAAGTTGTCAGCTGTGTCCACAGAGGGAGGGCAAGGGCACGTTTTGGAGCAGTTTAAAGCACATGTTCCACTCAGCCAGCCTCAACAGAGAAACTGGAGTCAGGAGTAGGTTTTGATTTACTCTACAAGAGTTTTAACAGCCCTTGGATTTGCTGAGTGTTGGGACCAGAGCCAGGTTTGTGACTCCCCAAAGGTACATGGCAAAATGTACTGAGTTTTCTTTCTTATATCTTATTCGAAGCTGCATTCAGGTGAAAGGGAGGACCGTGGCTGCCGTGAGAATAGCACCCAGGAGCCATGGAACACACCTGGGCATTGTAGGAGATGAAAAAAGGCCAAGCAGCTACACAGAACAGACAGGACTAAACACCAACTTGTTTAATACTACTCATCCCATTATCTGTTTCACTATTTTGCTTAATTTGGTAGTAAAAATGCTGGATAAAAGTAGTATTTATAGACTATTGCAAAGAAGAGACAAGGCTGTTAAGGCACTCCTGTGCATCCTTCCATGGTTCTGCTGCACTTACAGAAGCAGCCAAGTGAAACTGTTTTGCATTGTACACAGAGGCCATGGAGTCTTGTAGCTTCCTAAGGCAGCTTGGAATGGGGCTGGGTTTCTGTTAGGCCTCAGTGAATTCCATCTTCTCCCACCTTAACAGATGGAATTCACAGATAGTGCTGAACACAATTAATATGTCAAATTTATGGTTTTATTATCAATTGGCTGCTCTACCATGTTATCCCAAACTATTTCACATTTCCCAAAACTACTTTTCTGACTGAGTCAGAGCAAAATTCAAAGCCCCTGGTTTATACAAAGCATCAATAAAATGCAAAATGGGATAAATACAGACCCTCCTGCCCCTCCATTCCTTAAGCCTAGCCCATGAGGGATATCTTTTGCATTCAGGTGAATCAGATGGCATGACCAGCACTGCATCTTTGCAGGGTCCTTTAGGGAATTCCAAAGAGGACAGGGGAGGATACCTTCATGGTGAGATTCTGGAAAACTGGCACTTTCCAAATCCTGGCCTCTCTGGCTAAGGCATTTTCCAGGGGAAAAAAAAAAAAAAAAAAAAAAAAAAAAAAAAAAAAAGGCAAGTCATGAGCTCTCTATATGTCCAGGACACTTCATGGCAGCTGTTTGAGTCAGTTTCCTGATGAGAGCCACTGACAAAAAGAAACAAAATTATAAAACAACATCCCAGCTCCTTGTACTAAGGATGACTTCCTCTTTTGATGCCTTTCCAGTGCTGAGAACTGAGGAGCAGCCACAGCACTTGTTTGTTTGCAGACAGAGCAATTCTGATATGCATTTTCCCTGAAAATTCCTGATGAAAGAAAACATGTCAGATGGCTGAACGACAACACAGTCCAGCTTCTTCACTGCTAGGCTGTGTAATGGCTAGAGAAACCTTGGGTCAAGCAGTCCAGATTAGTCCATTTATCCTGTTTCACACATTTGGTTCTCCATTTGCTGAGCTATTACTCTGCAACCTGTCATCACCTGATTTCAAGTTTCTGGCAAATAGAGGCTTATGGTTTCCACAAAAAGGCTCAAAGTTGACTGTTCTTAGGAGGTTTATGAGTTCCCAATTAAAAGTTTTCCTCAGAGCAGTTTAATCTTTGGAGATACCACTTTGGAAATCCCACTCTCCAGACTAAGGGCAGTATTTACAGGAAATAAACATCTCTGAATCATATCAGTACCAAGTGAATGAGAACATCCAGCCTGAAACTACTTCAAGGCTTACATTTTGGTGTCTCTTTAACAACAGAAAAGAGATGTTACTAGATATAAAATTCCTGCTTTTCTTTCCAAGGAGTGGTGAATGTGGGCTTCCTCACAGTTTTTTTCTGGAAGCTCACACCATTATCTCTGTAGTTCCATTAAAAAACCCAAAGTGACGTGAATCCTCTGGAAACTGTTCTGCATTTCTAATGAGGTTTCCCTGAAAGCAGGAACCACATATGACTAACTTCGGCTGCCACTGGATGTCAGAGCATCCAAAGCCGGACCATTTCACAGAGGGGGAGCTGGCAATGATTTATCTGACCAGTTTGATGCATGGAGAAGTTTACTCTGGTGTAGCTGGGGGGAAATAATAATTAAAATCTCGCCCTCTGGCTAATTTCGACTGTCCTTGAGAACGCCACCGAGCAGCTCCCGCACCGCCAGCGCTCAGACAGCCCCTCCAGCCCTGCAGAGCGCCCGGGCGGCGATGGGGACCCCGTCCTGTCCCGTCCCGTCCTGTCCCGTCCCGTCCCTACCCGCCTGGCCGGGTACCGGGCACGGGGCTCGGCTCCGCGGCGGGGCCGGCCCGGGAGGGCGGCGGAGAGCGGGGCGATACCTGCGGGGAGCAGCCCCAGGCCCTGGCCCCTCCGCCGGGATCCTCGGTGGCGATCTCCGGGCACGGCTCGGCTGGAGCGCCCAGCTCGTGTCGCGGGGTCCGCGCGGTCTCGGCCCCTGTGGCTCTGTCCTGCCTGTCCAGAGATCGTTGTGCCAGGCAAAGCGGGATCCCGATGAAATTCTGCCACGTGATAAACGCTGTAACCTTCAGCACAGCCCCTAAATCTGCTTGCTCCCTCTCTGGCACCAGTTATTGCCTTGACGATGGGCTGTCCCTTCTCTTCGACGTGGCCCGCTCCAAAACACGCATTTGCTGGATCCACACAATCCCAGCACCTGCCAGGACCTATTTTCCTTCCAGTCACAGGAAGTATCTTTTCTCTCTGTTTTCATTGAGCGTATGCACTCTTGTTCCCTCCCAGGGCTGGACCCCTCTGCCAGCATCCGTGTTTTCACCCCAGGTTTTCTTCCACCCAGGATCTCTCCATGTCTCAAAGCCACTCTCAGCTTTCCCCTCAGATCCTGGACTCCTTTGTTTTCCTCCTGCAGCATTTTCTGTGGGAAGCTGGTTCCAATATTTTATGTTAAACCTTTTCTCATTCCTCAGCTTTGCCTGCCTACACATGACTCTGTTGTCTCACCAGCCCCTTGGGCTATACATTTTCTGGTGCTAAATTGTTAGTCCATGAATCTGTGGGTGCAGCACAACTCTGACTAACACCGCGGCAGTGTGTGAAGAGCAAAGAGACTTTGCTGAATAGCTGGTCTTAAGGTTCCTGACTCACCTGATTGCACACACCTGGGGCTGGGGAATGGCCCTGTCCTGTCATCACCTGTGCGCCCGGCCCTGGGATACACCGGTCAGTTTGCTGGGGGAGATCTGCCAGGTGCAGATCAGCTCTGTCCACATTCCTGCTGCTGCTTACATCCCTCTGGCAAAAATACAGCACAACCGAGGCACAGCCCTTGGTTTGTGTCTGTGCCTGGTGCTTGGTGCTGGGGATCCCAGGCCCCAGTGGTGCACAGCAAAGGCAGCGAGGGGAGGAGTGGGACTGGAGCAATGCTCTGTGACCTGCCAGCAGGATTTGGGTGTGCAGGAATAGCTCGGGGGAAGAGAGACAAGTGTGATCCAGGGCATCAGGTACTGGGGAAACTATTCCTGGACCTCTCCTGTTCAGTAAAATTGTCTTTGACTCTTAAGGACATAGATTATGAAAGGACAAAGTCAGATTGCTGGAATGATCTAATCTAATTCGTTTAAGTAACTGACACGTGGATAATGTGATGTTGAAATGCTGCAAGTAGGAGAGGAGCAGATGATGCTGTGGAGGATCCCAGCAGTAGGCTGTGAAACTTTACACTAAATGACAAATAACCTGGGAATGTGCTTCATTAGTGCAGGACTAACTGATTTATGTGCCACTTGGACTGTATTGCTTGTTTATATTTAAGTTATTCTGCAGTCCCTCTATTTCATCAGCAATTCAAAACATTACAGTCAGGAAAAGAAGGAGATGGATATTCTTCATCGTGTGGAGAACAGGTTGGGGCTTGCAGCCCTATCAGAGACCCAGAGCCCCCTTAGACCCCCTAGAGCCCTTCCAGAGCAGTGGAGCCTTGTCAAGTTACAGTCAGGAAAAAGAGATGGATATTCTTCATCGTGTGGAGAACAGGTTGGGGCTTGCAGCCCTATCAGAGACCCAGAGCCCCCTTAGACCCCCTAGAGCCCTTCCAGAGCAGTGGAGCCTTGTCAAAGCTCTGGAGCTCTTCCAGAGCTCTGGAGCACTGTCAGACCCCTCACAGCCCGGTCACCCCTCACAGCCCGTCGGGCCCCGGCCCGCCGCTCCGCCGCCGCCATTGGTTGAGCTCCCTTCGGCCCCGCCTCCCCCCGCCTGCCATTGGTTGCGCGGGCACCGCAGCGCGCGGGGGCTGGCCGCGGGGCGGGGCGCGCGCAGGCGCAGTGCTGTTATTGTTCCGCCGTGCCAGCGCCTGGCCCGGGCTGCCGCGGCCGCCATCGCTATCGCCATGCCGGTGAGGCGCGGGGGGGACGCGGGGTGTGGCCCCCGGGCCCGTCCGGGCACTGCGCACCTCTGCCCGCCGCGCCCGGGGCTGGCAGAGCCCGTCGGCTCCGTTCCCATGTGCGCGCGGGAGCCGCAGGGCGGGCGGTGCCTGTCAGGCCGAGCGGGGCGGGGGTGACGAGGGGCTGCGGGTGGTGCCAGGCCCCGCAGAGGCGGCGGCACCTTGGCAGCGAGGAGTGGCGGTCCGGGCTTCCCGGAGGGTATCGACCCATATTCCGGGGGCTCGTGGAGACGCCGAGTCCCGGTCTTGGTTTTTGGCGGCGCCTCGTGTGCTTCCCTCCCCCGCCCGAGTGGGGCTGAGCCGCTCTCTGCGTTCAGCAGCACGGCAAAAGCCGCTGCTGAGGCCTGGGAGGAATCGGGGCAGGTGGCAGCTGGAGGGAGAGGCGCTTGGAAAGGGTTTGTTTCGGCTTGACATGAAGTGTAGCTGCTCTAGGAGCAGTTAGACGCTGAGCTGCAGCACCTCTAGCCCACGGGAGTGTCTCTTAACTAGATTCATCAGCCGTGCTTCAAAATTTGTTTTGGTAACTACATAAAAGAAAATGAATGTGAGGTTTTATAATGCAACATTCAGGTGTTCTAAACTTAAGCATGTATACTGGGTGTTGTAATTAAGATGAATTCCCTTCAGCCAGCACTCCCTGGTATCTGGTTGTGTGCTCTGTGAGGTTGGAGAGTGTATAGTCAGTGTTACTGAAGAAGAATGTCATGGCTGCACCGAATTCCAGCAAACTTTTTGCAGGTTGCAAGGTGAAATTGTTTCTTGAAAAAATTCTTGTGAATGTGAAATGCTCAATGTTTACTTATTCAGTGTCCATGTTGGCCAACCAACAAAGATCCCATTGCCTGGATAAGTGTGTTGTTCTCTCCGCTGTAATCATAAACCAGTCCTGGTTTTAAGTCCCCAAGTTCATGATCCTCTGGAGACGTAGCTGCCCAAGCTGATTCAACAGTGCTTGGACACACAGTAGTTTTATAGTGGGAGATGGCAGGGGTAGATTGGCTATTAGGAAGAAATTCTTCCCTGTGAGGGTGGTGAGGTCATGGCATGGGTTGTCCAGAGCAGCTGTGGTTGTCTCATCCCTGGAAGTGTTCAAGGCCAGGCTGGAGCAACCTGCTCCAGTGGAAGGTGTTTCTGTCCGTGGGGGTGGAACTGGGTTTCTTGCACCCCAAACCTTTCTGTGATTCTGTGTTAACACTAGTGTTACAGCCTGTGTATTTTTGTTTAAATAATTACAGATTAACAAGCCTGAGAAGCCGGACAAGCCGGAAAGCTGTGACAATGTCAAGGTGGTTGTTCGCTGCCGGCCTCTCAATGACCGGGAGAAAGCTACAGGCTACAAAATGGCAGTGAATGTGGATGAGATGAGGGGAACTATAACTGTGCATAAAACAGACTCATCCAATGAGCCTCCTAAGACATTCACATTTGACACAGTGTTTGGACCAGAGAGTAAACAGCTGGATGTCTATAATTTAACAGCAAGACCTATTATAGATTCTGTCCTAGAGGGATACAATGGTAAGTCCCTTGTTGTAAGGGAAGGATCTTATCCTCTCTCCTATTCTTTGCTTTGATAAAATTCCTGCTGATCTTGTTTAAGGGAGTTTCACCTTCTGAGGGCTGTAGCCTCAGATCATTTCTGTTGTGGCTTCTAACTTAAAATAGCCTGAAGGCACTTGCTGTTCTGAGTTGTACCCACTGCTGTCGTTAAGAGTGGTAGATGGGTGATGAAGGAGATTCCTCTGAGGTCAGTTAGCTGCATGTTGTTATCCTTTATCTTCTCTTTGCAAGAGATATGCACTGATGTCATTATCAGAATTCTCGGTGGCTCTTCACTGTACGATTTCAGTACCCAGTGGAACTGAAGTGTAGTAGCATCTCATGCTTTAGGCACTCTGCAATTTTAAAACAAGCTGACTTTTTATTAGACATCTTGCAGGCTGGATTAAGCAGCAGATAGGTCGTGTTTGCCCAGCATTTCTGTTACTTCAGCCTTGTATTCCAGTAGCTACTGGAGTGAGTGGAAAATTTCAACTCCGTGAAAATAGAGGTGTTTGGTGCTATCAGGCTAAGAAGGGATGAAGTAAATCTGCAGTTAGAGTTTAGAGAAGACTCAACTTCCTAAAGTTTGTTGTTTTGTCTTATCCTTCAGGTACTATTTTTGCATATGGGCAGACTGGAACAGGCAAAACCTTCACCATGGAAGGGGTCCGAGCAGTTCCTGAGCTCAGAGGCATCATTCCCAATTCCTTTGCCCATATATTTGGTCACATTGCCAAGGCAGAGGGGGATACAAGGTAAAGGCCTTCCCTTGACTGCTTCTGTTTTTGTTTTTGGCTTGTTCTTTTTTTTTTTAATGTGAGTCCATGTGTAGCAGGAGCCTGACCTTGACAATGACGACAGAAATGGTACTTCTCCCAAGATGAAAGTTTCCTACTTAGATAGTTCTTAGATAGGGGCAGCAGGACTGTGTTGGTATTTCAGTGTTTTCTTTGCACTCTGTGGCTGTGTTTGTGGGACTTCAGCAAATGTTTTGCTAAGTGAACTACCCAGCTGTTCATCTGCAGGTTTTTAGTTCGTGTCTCTTACCTGGAAATTTACAATGAGGAAGTGCGGGACCTGCTGGGAAAGGACCAGACACAGAGGTTAGAGGTGAGCCTCCTCTTCTGAATGTGGTGTTTGTTTTGAATCAGAGCAATATTCTGTTTTAAAGTTCAGAGAAGCACTTGCAGGGAAGTGGGAGGTTGGGCTCCTCAGCAGTCCTCTTTCCTTTGCGATGCAGTACCTGGATGTCACTGCTGGATTCTTTAAATTTCTTTCACTTGGTCAGTTGCACAAATTGGCTGTTCCACCTGAGGCAGTTTCATACCTGCAGTTCTACCCCAAAGGCCCCTCAGCAGTCCTGAGAATTGGAGTTTGGCATTTAAAATTATGTCTTTACAGAGAGAAAACTGTAGCGTATTGTCATTCATGAGTCTTTATTCCTTATCTGCTCTGATTCTAAGTGGAGTGTTTTATGTGCAAGCCAGAAAATGGAGGAGTAAACCACTGTACTGTTACAGTATCACTGGAATTGCTGTGGGGGGGTCTCCTAGGGATGCTCAGTCTGAACTGTTTCTCTCTTAGGTGAAAGAGAGACCTGATGTGGGAGTTTATATCAAAGACCTTTCAGCTTATGTTGTAAACAATGCAGATGATATGGACAGAATCATGACTCTGGGCCACAAGAACCGTACGTAGCCTTGTTGTGGGCAGGTTTATAGCTCAGACAGAGTAAAGGTCTGGTTGCCAGACCACAGTAGGAGGTCCTAGTGCTGTTGCTGGGAAGAGTGTTTGGCTGAACAGAACAAAAAAGGTATCTCCTCCCAAGCCTCTTTTGTGCAGGGCCAGGTAAAGAAGGCTGTGCTTCCCACGTCAGCCAGTGCCAGTGGGGATCAGCAAAGGGAGGATGCAATGAGGGCAGTCAGTGTTGTCAGAACTGCTTGTGTGTCTCTTGGTCCTTTTTCCACTTCAGTTCTGATCAGGGTGAACATCAGCCCTGTGCTGTGAGTGGGAGATAATTTATGCACTGAAAGACTTCTTAGTTAAACTCAGATTATTTAGTGACTTAAAGTTCTGATTCCTGTTCCCCTTGGCATGGATTGCTGGGTTCTTATTTCCCAAAATACATCTGTTTTCAAGGATCTGCTATGAACACCTTAAGCTATTGATCTTTAAACAGATGAGGACAGTTGCTGGTCTTGAAAGTTTGTGGTTGACTTAGAGCTATAGCAGGCTGCAGGACCTTCTGCTAGTCCAGGCTGGAAGTGTACTGCAACTTCAGTGCCCAAGAACAGACTTTGCTGCTGAATCTGAGCATCCCTGTGCCATCTTCTGGAATACAGGGTTGGGTGAAGAGGTGGGAATGAGTTTCCTCTGAGAGCAGGAAGAGTTAGAAGAAGATGTGATTAATTCTGAAGACATCACTGCTTTTTTCTCTATTAAAAGGTTCTGTTGGTGCCACAAACATGAACGAGCACAGCTCTCGCTCGCACGCCATCTTCACTATCACCATTGAGTGCAGTGAGAAGGGCGTCGATGGCAACATGCACGTGCGCATGGGCAAGCTGCACCTCGTTGATCTTGCTGTGAGTAGGACCAGCCAGGTCTTTCCAAGACATTTGGTTTGGGTTGTTGAGGTTTTGTCAGAGGATTGTGACCATGTTGTTCATCACTTGCAGGTTCCTTCCCTCAGTGTCACACTTTGAACCAATGTAATTGTGCTGGTAAAACATGGCTTTAGCCTGAGATTTACGCTGAGGTACCTTTCCTTGGGAAAGATGCAGAAAAACTGAGACTAAGGGCATTCAACTTATTTATATGGTGTGTGCATAGGATGCTCTATGAAACTCTCTCGAATAATTGCAGTGTTGCTGTTTGCTCTTTCTCTGCTGACAGGAAGGGCCGTGGATGGCAGTTGGCAGCTCCAGCTGGGGTGCCTTTTAACTGCTGACTGACTTCCCATAATGTTTTTGTTCCTGGGGAGGAGAATCTCCATTTTCCCAGCTGCATTGCTTTGAGCAATCCAGAATTTGCTGGCACTGAAAGCTTCTGTTTAAGACTTGTGTGACTTGTCCCTTTAACAATGTCTGAGATACTTAGCCAGGTTCTCTAATAATGGATGAAGTGGTTAGTGACATGGCTGCCAGCAAAATTTCACATGTAGCTGATTCTGTTTGGAGGGGAGATGTATTAGAGGATCTGGATTATTACCTCCTGCTTCGTGTTCCCTTTGCAGGGTTCTGAAAGACAGACAAAAACTGGAGCCACAGGGCAGAGACTGAAGGAAGCCACCAAGATCAACCTCTCCCTCTCCACACTGGGCAATGTTATCTCTGCACTGGTGGATGGCAAGAGCACCCACGTGCCCTACCGTAACTCCAAACTCACACGGCTG